CCACGCTGTAATTCATTAAAAGCACAATTTTTAGTCTACCATTTATCTACCTTCTATTTTTGAGTCTATGGCTCAGTATAACCAACTCAGTCCTCCCAAGAAAAATGCCTTAATACCATGTTTATGTTAAACTGACCTTTAGCAGCTGTATAAATTATGACTCTTGCCTATCAGGAAAAAAATAAGTGGCAGTGAATTGCTGTTGTAGAGCTCAGGGTTGGTGGACGGGTCAGGTAGTTATTTTAACCTAAACCACAATCATTCCCGAAACTTATCCAAGTACATTCTGTGTCTAAATCTAACCAATCCTTAACCTGTCACAACTGAGGTTTGGAACAGAGGCAGCAAGGACCTAAATGCAGTCAGACAGATGCCATGTGGCTTCATCTTCTACTTTGTTCGATTTATTGGCGGGTGGCAACCACCGTCAAGGTGCATTACCACCATCTGCTCATGAAGTGGCTTTTTTATAAGACAAACTTATAAAAGCTCATGCTTTGGTAAGCAAGCTATGATTAAGATGCCACAAACTCAGCAATGGCATCTTCATCTAAGGTTTTAAAGTGCTCTTGCAGATAGAGTCAGAGCTGCATGCTTTTTTGGCAGAGGGATAGAAGACTCTTTATGGAAAATGTCCATCACATCTCAGACTCAGGTGTCATCATACTGTCATAACTGAAGTTCAGACCACAAGCACGGAAGACCCAAAAACAGACAGACAGATGCAATAAAGTAGCTACATTAGAAAATGAGGTGACAGGCAGGTTTAGGAACAAGTTACAGGCAGGTTGGCGAGAAAAGAAGTCTTCATCATGAGTGGCTTGAAAACAGAAAGTCCAGATAACAAAAGGAAATTCAGAGAACACAGAACTTTCTGTCAAACTGGCTGTGGAACCGCTTGCTTTTCATTTCAGTGCCCATGTTAACAAATTAGAGCAGCAACACTGCCCGTGATTCAGCCTCGGAAGCCGCACTGCTCTTCTAGAGATTTACGGTCTCACCTATTTTTTTCTGCATACTGCTCACAGTTCACAGCAGAATAAGACAGTGTTGGCAACACTTCTTGTACCAGTTTCAAAGTAAAAGCGTTTCTTTTGACTGAATCCATTCATTTGTTTTAACAAGGTTTTGTTTGTTATTGCAAGACCGGTAGATGCACAGCTTCATACTGTAGTGTCCTGGCATTTAGTTAGAGTACATAATCCGATTTTGGTTGAAGGAAATACAAAAGTTATACTAGCAGTTCTGCTGCAGAACTGAAGCAGACACATTGCCAGTGTGAAACACGGTTCAGCTGTTCCGGCTACGCACTGCAGCAAGTGTGGCCTAGTATAAGAGGTGATTTGGGGGTTTGGAAATATGCAGGGTAATGGGAATAATCGAAATGGGTGTAGGTGGGCAAGGCAGTCTGGTGATAGAGAATATGAGACTGGTGAGCAGGCGGATCTAGGACATGGAGGAAATCTGAGGACGTCTTTTGGATGACAATTGGATGGATAGAGGAAGGAGACGTAAACAGAATGAACAAAAATAAACATGTTTGTCACAAGGAGGGGTGATCGAACCCTTGGTGGCAGATCAGAAAATAATACAATAATTGTAATAGTTTTATTGGTTTTACAAGGCACTGCCAACTATGTAGTCCAAAATACTGATATGAGACTAGATAACTATTCAAATTGTAATCTCTGGCTTCCCAATTATTTGTAAATCGACTCCATTTACAGTGCCACTACCCTCAAAACAGAACCCTTACAAAGAGGACCAATGGTTTTTCAGGGTGTGGTGACAGTGTGGTCAAGTTAGTGTCTATGTCAGCCCACAGAGTTAGAGCCTCACAGCTGAGGGCCTGAGGTCTGTGGATCAGAAAAAACCACAGCCCACTATGGAGAAGGTCAAGACTCCTAAACCAAATGTCTCACTGCTGTTTTAGGCTCCTCTTTAACTGGCATCATTATTTATGGTTGCATTGCTATTCATTGTTCTTCTCAGTGGATTTTTATATTATACCTAGAGCTGGAGGAGAGGAGAGGGTTGAAACTTGCTGAAGGGTTATCAATGT